CCTCCTCTCCTCCTCCTCCTCCTCCTCCTCCTCTCCTCCTCCTCCTCCTCCTCCTCCTCCTCCTCCTCCTCCTCCTCCTCCTCCTCCTCCTCCTCCTCCTCCTCCTCCTCCTCCTCCTCCTCCTCCTCCTCCTCCTCCTCCTCCTCCTTCTCCTTCTCCTGCTCCTTCTCCTCCTCCGGTTCAGACTACATGGCTCGCCAAACGGCACTGCGACGCCGCGCAAACATTGGGCCACAGCGGATAAAGGGAACACTCGGGGGAGGCCTCCCTCTTCCTCTTCCTCCTCCTTTTTTTCCTCTTCCTCAACATCCTCCCCCCCCTCCTCCTGCTCCCCCTCCTCCGCCCCTTCCTTCTCCTACTCCTCCTCGTGCGTTTCCTCCTCTCCTCATCCTCCTCCTCCTCTTCCCCCCCCTCCTCCTCCCCTCCTCCTCCTCCTCCTCCTCCTCCTCCTCCTCCTCCCCCTCGTCCTCCACCTCCTCCTCCTGCCCCCCATCATCATCATCATCATCATCATCATCATCATCATCAGCAGCATCATCATCATCATCATCCGCATCATCATCATCATCATCAGCAGCATCAGCATCACCGTCATCATCATCATCATCATCATCATCATCATCATCATCGTCATCATCATCATGATCATCATCGTCATCATCCCTCTTTCCTCCTCCCCCCGCCCCCCTTCTCTCCACCCCCCTCCTTCCCCCCTCGTTCTCCTATTCCTCCTCCTCCTCTGTTTCTGTTTCCCAGTGCGGCCATGGTCAGTGACCCATGGCAGCCAGCAGAGATCCGCCCCTCCAACGGAGGATGACAACATACTTAATCAGTCCAGAGCTGAATTGTCTGGGCGCCGCTTCGGGCCCTGAATTTTGCCCGGTCTCTCGCTCCAGCTGCTCACCCCTGCCGCGGCGAGTCCAAACCGAGCCGAGAGCTGGTCCACATTCCACTTCCCCCCCCCAGACTCCCCGCCCACCAAGCTTCAACGCCTCCCCCCCCACATCAGTAGGCGGTGTTATGAGAGACCCATTGGAACGGGCAGCAATCTCGAGGTCAATCGGAGTTGCCGGGCGCGGCTCCCCGATGGTCCACCTGTTGCATTGTGGAGCCCACCCAGGGAAGAGGCGCTTAGCTGCTCGTCCTTTCTGGCGTCGAAGGGCGACCGAAACGTCTAAGGGCTTGGGCAGATCCTGCAAAGCGACTTGATCCCTCCCCAGCTGCAAGCCCCGCAGCTCGTGCAAAACAAGACCGTGGAACCGCGGGGCACACGCAGTCCGTCGGCCCCATACACAGTAGCTTTCATGATACGTGACGGGTCAGCCCCATCAGGATTTCGAAGTCGGCCTGGGCCCCAGGACTCACAGCGAACGTCTGCCGCCCCGTTTGAAACTCCCGAGGGGCCCTGGCTGCTGGCGATCCAGACCCTTGGCTTCGAGCGCAAGCTCGGGCAGGCTCTCCGCGTCCATCAGGCCTCTGTTGGCCATCAAGACTTCCTGTTCAGCAGCCCAGTGGCCTGCCTCGCGCGCCAGCCTTTTGAAAACGTTGGCTGCTGCTCTGGCGCCGGCTGTGCCCGGATGGCAGTCGGCTCCCATCTTCGCATATTTGCCCGCAGCGTCCGACCCCAGCTTAGCGAAGGTGGTGGTCCGACCGACTTCCACGTCCACCCAGCTGCCGTGGGCCTTGACTTTAGTAGCTGCTGGGCTGATCCCATCAAAGGCGTGAAAATTCTCGACCAGAGGTGACAGCGCGAGCAGCTCGAGCTCTGCGCAAACTGCGGGCATCGGAGCGCTCCAAGCGCG